CGGAAAGCAATGAAATAATGAAGGTGTCAACGACTGCCGCGTGTTGGAGGCCGTGCTCTGGGAAGACAGAGGGGCTGCTGAGGGCAGACGGGGGTTTCCCAGAAGCCGAGACACCGTTCCACTTCCTGACCCAGGTGGACATGCAGGGCTTGCTTCTTATTCTCTAAACTCTTTTGTGCTCTCTTCTACAGGGAGAGAGGCTGCGCCCGGCCAGGAGCTGACTGGGCTTGAGTCCCAGGCACGCTGGACCTTGAGAGAGCTCCGAAGGAGGTTCCAGAAGCCTCAGAAAAAGGCCTAGGGATATGTAATACCGCACTGTATATTATTACATAATTATATACACAGTGTTACACATACAGTAAGCATACTGCATTATATGTTACATAAATATTATAGTTATACATTTACATTTTATGTGTAATTGCATATTTACATGCATTTATTATATATACAATACTCATATATAATGCTATACTGCATTGTTCCATAATTACATGTATAACATGTATATAATATTGCACTGTATTATATATTACCTAATTATATACAGTATTCCATATATAATAACACTGCACTATAGTAATTATATACAGTATTTTATATAGAATACTCCATTGTATTACATATTGCTACATCACATATACAGTATTATATATACAACACTGTATGTATTACATAATTACATACAGTATTATACATACAATAGTGTACTACATTACATAATATATACCAAATTATATATACAGCTCCGTGGCACTATGTATTAGTTAATATACAGCATCATATAAACAATACTGCAGTTATATTATGTAATTATATATATACAATGTTTGGACCACCTGGGTGGCGCAGTCAGTTAAGTGTCCGACTTCGGCTCAGGTCATGATCTCATGGTTTGTGAGTTCAAGCCCCACATCGGGTTCTGTGCTGGCAGCTCAGAGCCTGGAGCCTGTTTCAGATTCTGTGTCTCCTTCTCTCTCTGCCCCTCCCCAGCTCATGCTCCCTGTCTCAAAACCAAACAAAACAAACACCCCTACAATGCTGTGCCCTGTTACATATTGTTATATTATTACATATACAGTAACACCGAAGTGTATATTTGAAAGCTGCTCAGAGTACGGCTTAGAAGTCCTCACCACCAGGAAACAATTTGTGATGACAGATGTTAAGCAGACTTCCTGGGGTGATCATTTTGCAATATACAGGTGTTGTCATTATGCCGTATACTGAAATTAATGGAACACCATTTATCAATTTTATCACCATAAAGATAAAAGAAAATGTCTGGGCCCAGGGGTGGGGGCAGCCTGCTTTCCGAGCTCTTGCCATTGCTCCTCCCCCGGACATGAGGATGGGTGGCAGGGGTGCCTCTTGCACAGCTGCCTTGGGAGGGCAGCCCGGCCCACGGGCTCAGCTGTATGAGCCCCAGGGAGGGAAAGAGGAAAGGGCAGAACAAGGGGCCAGAAAGCACGAGAGAGCTTCAGGTGCTCAGGAAACCCGGTGACCCCCAGGGAGTCCCCTGGGCCTTCCTCGTGGACTCGTGTGTGTTATGCAGGGAGCATTGGCGCTCCTCTGGGAATGTCAGTCCTGCACGGGCTGGGTCAGGGGCCACGGCCACACCAGACCCCATGCCTGTCCATCAAGCAGCTGTCAGTATTGTTGGCAGTGATAGGGCACGCAGGGTGACATGGCACCACAGCATCAGGTGGCGGCAGTGCCCGGGGCATGTGGGGGACGGGGGGGAGGGACTGTCTGAGGTGCTGGCATAGGGACTGTGCAGTGGACAGAAAAGGATTAACTGCCATCAACAATTGTGCCGGCCAAGAGTTGGGGGCCCTGCTTTGTCAGACAGCATCTCACTTCACACCCCAGACACATCATTCAGGTTTGAAGCTGGCGCCACTCCCGGCCCCCAACACCCTGCTGCCCGCAACACCAGCTCCTGAGGCCTACATCTGTGGTACGGTGCGGATCAATCTTGCAAAGCACCATGCTCTGTAAAAGCGGCTGGCCACAGGTCCCTTACTGTGCTTTCACGTACAGAGTGTTCGCAATGGGGCATCAACAGAGACCGCAAGTACACTACTAACGGTCTAGGGCTGGGTCAGCGAGGGTGACTGCTAACTGGGTTTCCTTCTGGGGGGTGACAATGCTCTGCCACTACAGAGTGGAAAACTAGAGAGCGTAACACTGTGACTGTATTAGAAACCACTATCCTATACACTTTCAGGTTTCAGGTGGTTAAAACGTTGAATTTGGTTAGGTTTAACAAAAGATACCGACCTACAACATAATACAAGTACATTCTTCCTGGGGTCCCTGCCCCAGAAAACCGGGGCAGGGAGGCAGGGTAGCAGCCTGTTTTAAGGTACCTGACAATGTCTAAGAACCACTCAATGGTCCCAGTCTTTCCAGAGCAGAACCATACTCCCCAACACCCCCCGTGGCCACTGTCCTGTTCCCAGTAAGGGTCCCTTCCGAGACACTGTGGTGCACATCCCCTCCCCACTTGCTCCAGTCACAGCGGGGCGCCACCGTGCCCAGGAAAGCTCTCCCAGCTCCTGGGGCCAGCCGTGCACCTCACCGCCCTAAGGGAGGATCTCCACATACCCATGGAGCCTGCCAGCAAAGCCCAGGGTGGGTCCTCCCCAAGGCTGAGCCCTGCTATGGATCCTACGGGCGCCCATGCAGGCAGTGAGGCCAGCACATCCCCTGCCCTCCTCAGTCGTCCTGGGCCTGGCTAGAGACATCCATGTTGAGCTGGAAAGCAGCCCCAGGTCTCTAGTTACAAGGTGCCACAACCCACACTAGGTACTGGTCGTTCTGTCCTCCCCCAGCGGACAGGTGTGTATGCAGCCAGGGGAGTCACGAAAACGGCAACTGGGAGGGGCCGAGGGCACCACACAGCCCCAGGGTGAGCCCAAGGATTATGGAGTCCACCATGACTTTGGGGGCCTAGAGGACCCGCACCTGCCGGCCTGGCCCACCCAATCTCCTCAGGGGCTGCACCTACCTCCTGACCTACACCCCTGCTTCTCCATAAACAAGGATTTCCCAGTTTTGTATTCTTAGCAAGGCCTCCAGGTGGGAGGGCAAACTGGCTCCAGCCACCTCATAATTTATGGCTGCCTCTAGGCACCCTCCACATCCCCCACAACCAGGAGCTCCGGGAGTGTGGTGCATGGCCTCCATCAAGGTCACCTCCTCCTCTCCAACCCCCACCCTGGAATACAGGGCTGGGTGTCCACTGCACTCGTGCACACATGAGCCTGGGGAGCCTCAGGGGCCTGGGGTGCACCAGAGGGAGGTGCGGGCCTCTAACAGCAAGAGAGCTCCAGGCCCTGCTCCTCTGCAGACTGGCGAGCGCCCAGGTGTGGAGGGAGCAGCCTCTTGCAGCTTTGGCCTCAGCCTCACACTCGTCACTGAGACCTCATTACTAACTCCAGGGATGCCTCTTCAAAACCACCCCTCCATGGACAGTGGTAATGGCTGCACAAGACATGAACACACCTAATGCCACTCAAATGCACACTTAAAACTGGTTGAAATGAGGCATCTGGGTGGCTCAGTCGGTTTAAGTGTCCGACGTCGGCTCAGGTCAAGATCTCGCAGTTCCAGAGTCTGAACTCGGAGTCGGGTTCTGTGCTGACAGCTCAGAGTGTGAGCCTGCTTCAGATTCGTTCTCCCTCTCCTCTCTCTGCCCTTCCCCTGCTCATGCTCTCTCTCAAAAATAAACATAAAAAAAAAAAAGGGTTGAAATGCCAAATTTTACTAGGGTTCTGCAGTTTGTTGGTTCGTCAAGCCCCCCCTCCAGGAGATGAGGGGTGGAGGCGGAGGTCCTTCTGACACCCGGGCTCCCAGCAGCACACCCTCGTGCTGGCTGGGCCAGGGTGTCCTCTGCCTTCCATACACCGGACTGCAGAGCACAGTCAAACACCCAGGACTCCAGCCCCCGTTCCCTCTGCCCCTCCCCACCTAGGGACTCTGCGTCTACTTACAGAAACAAAGATGACGCACCTCCGCCACCCAGCCGGCTTGCTGTCTACACCACCCACCAAGCAGATGTCTACCCCTTGCTTTCTGGCAGCCTCCCACTGTATGCTCCAGCAAGGCCCCTTCTTCCTGGCTTAGCCTGGGCCCCAGACAAGGGCGCTGCAGGGACCCCATACCCGGACACGGCCCTCGTTCCCTGTGGACACAGTGGGCCGGGGAAAACCTCTGGTGCAGGAGCACCCACCAACCCACACTTCTTCTTACAAGGGGACAGACAGCGATCGCAGAGCCTATAGCACAACGACCAAGTCATTTTATGGTGCTAGCGGCACAAGATCCAGACCCAGTGACCACATGCCATTGGGCCAACCTCTGTATTGAGGGAGTGAGGATTATGGTTTTCACAACCTGGCCATCAGAAGGTCCCTCCCAGAATAAACCAACCCAAGGGGCTGATGGGCCAACTCTGGTTTCTTACTACGTGTGACAGAACAGCTGAGAGCGTAACACCACTAGCCTCTCCTGAGTGTGAGTCAAACTACAACCTGACCCCAAATCAGCAACTCCCCCTCTGAGGACCTTGTGGCTGCCATGTGGATATTGTCCAGAGACCTCTCTTTGTCCATAAGGAATCCCGGAAGTGGGGACTGCAGTGGGGCCCACTGGGGCCGGGCTGAGGCTCCGGGAATGGCACACTGGACCGCAGTCCTTCCTAAGGAGGTGGATGCAGAATGGGGCACGCCCCTCCCCACCCCTGGCAGAGCCTGCTGCGGGTGTCCCTCAGAAAGGACACGTGCAGCTCGGCGAGCAGACAGCTCTGCACACCTCACTCCGGTAAGTCAGGGCGCAGGCATGTCAGATGCCAACACTTGAAGGGACGTCTCACAGTAGGCCACAATTCCGAGGGTGAGCAAAGCTCACTGAGGACATCCGGTGTGTCGTCACCTGTGGAAGACCATGGTGACGTCTCGAGCACAGGAGGGACAGCAGAGACCCCGCTGCAGCAGTAAGAGGCTGTCTGTCAGATTTATTTATTCCTACTCAACAGAATCCCAGGACACAGGAGCAACTCTGTACATCTCTAGAAACTCACAGCTAGCTCCAAAACAATAGAAATTGTAAACTACAAAAGAGGAGTTGTATTCAGCAAATATAAAGGGTAACTTTAGGCTGTGTCGAACGTTTAACAGACTATTTACAGGCCCAGATGTCGAGTTAGATCTCGCCGGCCTCCTTCTCCTCCGACCTCCGAGAAGCTGTCTTCCCGTTGGAGCTCTCCAGCCTCCAGTCAGCAGCCCCTCGCTCACCGCGCCCGTGCTCCCAGGACTCCTCCCGTGACGCCCGCTCTCTGGAGAACCTGGGAAAAGAGAACCAGAGGCTCAGAGGAGGCTGGCGTCCCCCTTCTGGCTGGCTCCTGGAGCGCTGACAACTTGGATTCTCAACACCAGGTTGGGGAAAGCCAAGACCCAGCACACCCCGGGAGGCCCACAGAAGGCGCGAGGGAAGCCATTTAGTGCCCAAGCCACTAAATGGGAGCCTTAGGTAGCCACGGAGGTTTCCCCTGAGAGGGGAGCTTTGCTATGTCAACGGAGCAAAACACAACAAACAGTGCACAAGAAATAGGAACTGTTAGATAAACATGATGGAAAAAAGGCTACAATCAAGCACACAGTGCTTATCTCGAGTGTGAGTATGAATGTTTTTTAATTTGTTCTTCCTCGGGGCGCCTGGGGGGCTCAGTCAGTTAAGCATCTGACTTCACTCAGGTCACGATCTTGTGGTTCAGGAGTTCACGCCCCACACTGGGCTCTGCACTCACAGTGCACAGCCTGCTGGGGATTCTCTCTCTTTTGCCCCTTCTGTACTTGTGTGTGTAAAGATGCACGCTCGCTCTCTAAGATAAGTAAACTTAAAAAAATGAACTTAATTTGTTTTTCCTTAAACAAATAAACAACAACAAAACAAAACAAGAAAACAGAGGCAATCGGTGCCTGGTCAGGACACAAATCTCGGGCTCCGTGCATCTGTGTATGGAGGTGACACAGTGTGCAGCGGGTCACAAGAGGGAGCCATACCCATGTAACCACCTCCACAGCCTTGCAACTGTCCACGGCCTGAATCTACCTGCTGCTTTCTGCTCAGGGCTCCCTGTGCCCTGGGCCTCGTTCACAATTCCTCAAGGCTCCCCCACTCAGACCCATCCCTACCGGGTATGGCCACTGGGCCCCAACGACAGACCCTGGGAACACAAAGAGAAGGGGCTCACTCCGGGCTGCAGCTACGGAAGGAGTCAGAGTAGTTACTTGTATTTCGCACTCCGGTCCCTGGAAGCCCGGCGGTGGCCCCGGCTGTGGCTCCGGGAACGGCTGCGGTGGCGCCGGTGTCTGTCTCGGGAGCGGGACCGGGATGACTTTCGTCGCTCCCTGGAGGCAGATCTCGACCTCCTCCGACGCCGGTCCCGGGAGCGCGACCTGCAGCAGAAGACACCCGGACGCTCTGAAGGCCACGACGGCTGCATCCCAAAAGCCCTCCTCACTCAGCAGGTTCTACCCGATGCTTCTCTGGCACCTCCCCTTCCCTCCTACAAAAATACAACCGGGGTCCACAAGAGTCCCATCAACTAATCTCTGGTCAAAGAGAATCACGACCCATCCTCCCACTGATGCTTCCTGAAAACATCTTGCCAGGAAACTCGCTGCCCTCAGGCCTCGGCAGAACTGGCTGACTTCTCGCACGGACAGGGGGTCCCTCTGCTGCACTAAGCCCCAAGCAACCTGACAAAGATAGACGGGGTTCGAGTGTGTCCCCCAAGCAGCCCTGCTACCAGGTAACAAGTGTGAAGCTCTAACGGTTAACTATCAAGAAAACAGTGCACAAGGAAAAGGACTTTTGACCGAGAACACGTTAGTGGATCTGGAAACCTACCTCCTGCGATCTCTGGTTCTTGATCCAGACCTAAAACGGAAAAAAGAGATGAACAATTTCCCCCAAAGTGCCCCAGGCCTCACACAAGAGGAAAGGGGCCCCTAGCATACAAGGTGAAGGAGCGTCAGCTTCTCAGAGTCCTGTTATTTTCTAGTTCTCGGGCTTATAGCTCCAAGGGTCACTGCTCACAGGGAGAGGCCAGCCGTCACCCCGAGTGCTCAGATGCCACACTCTGGAGTTTGACAGCGGCCTCTGCCAAGTCTCTGCAGCAGACACTCACACAGCTGTGCAGACTGTGTCGTAACAGATGCAGGGCTGGGTAGGATCTAAAGCCACCAAAAGACACCAAAGTTAAAGCCAAGCCTCACATTCCAGACGTAGGTCCATTGCCAGGTGAGGGTCACACGACCCCCTCAGGAAATACCATATAACCGGCGATCCAAGATATGCCCGTTACAACGGGGTCTCACTTTACAGCAAAAATTAAGAAGATCGCCACCAAAATGCGCTGAGGAGAAAGTGACAGAAGATGCTCATGCATGTGTCTGGAAGATGATCAGATAAAGCTTTTTGGCAAGGAATTTTCCCAACACCTACTAATATTCACATATTCATTTCCTTTGTCCTTGAAATTGTAAGGAATTTTACAAAGCACTTAAACATATATATAAACACGATCACTAGAGTATTTGTTCAAAAACAGTTTTGTAGAAATTTCATTATCAAAAATCAAAACTGAAAAGGACAAGCAACAAAGCAAACCACACGTGGGGCCGCATCATCTCAGAAGAAAGGCCTCCCAGCAGTGGGAGGAACCAGGCGCAGGCCACGGACTGGACAAGGGGTTAATATCCAAATATATAAAGGACCGCCTGCAACTCCACAGAAAAAAAACTTCACTAAAAAACGGGAAGAGGATCTGAAAAGACATTTTCTCAGAGGACATACAGGTGGTCAACAGGCACATGAAAAGGTGTTCAACATCACAAATGCAAATCAAACCCACAATGAAATATCACCTCACACCTATTAGAAAGAGAAGCAATACTCACCCAAAAGATAAGCAGTAACTGAATAAAACTAGACAAACAAACTAGAGACAAGTGTTGGTGAGGACCTGGACAAAAGGGAAGCGTCATGCACTGCTGGTGGGAATGCCAAGTGGTGTAGCCAGTGTGGAAGACGGCATGGGAGCTCCTCAAAAAGTGAAAAAGAGAACTACTCTCTGCTCCACAACCCCACATCTGAGTTATTTATCCAAGGAAAAAGAGGGGTGCCTGGATGGCTCAGTCAGTTGAGCCCATGTCTCTTGATTTTTTTTTTTTTAATGTTTTATTTATTTCTAGGAGAGAGAGAGAGAGAGACAGACAGACAGACAGACAGCGTGAGCAGGGGAGGGTCAGAGAGAGAGGGAGTCACAGACTCTGAAACAGGCTCCAGGCTCTGAGCTGGCAGTCAGCACAGAGCCCGACGCGGGGCTTGAACCCACGAACCGCGAGATCATGACCTAAGCGAAAGTCGGACGCTTAACCGACTAAGCCACCCAGGTGCCCCCATGTCTCTTGATTTCAGTTCAGGTCACAATTCGAGGGTTGTAGGACTGAGTCCTGTGTCGGACTCCGCACTGACCTTCAGATTCTCTCTCTCTCTCTTCCTCTGCCCCTCTCCCCTGCTCGCTCGCTCTCTCAAAAACAACAACAAAGAAAATGAAATGAGGGGCACTCGGGTGGCTCAGTCCGTTAAGCGTCCGACTTCAGCTCAGCTCATGATCTCACAGTTCGTGGGTTTGAGCCCTGCATCGGGCTCACCTGCTTCAGATTCTATGACTCTCTCTCTGACCCTCCCCTGCTCACGCTGTCTCTATCTCTTCTCAAAAATAAATAAAACATTTAAAAAAATTAGAAAATGAAATCACTATCTTGGAAAGACCTCTGCGCCTATGTTCATCACATCGGTATTTACAAGGGCCCAGACATGGAGACAACTTAAGTGTCAATCAACAGATGAACGGATAAAGAAGTAAATACACAGTGAGACACTACTCAGCCACAGACGAAGAGGAAATGCTGCATTGGGACAACACGGACGGACCAAGGAGGCATGATGCTGGGTAACATCAGACCGACGATCAGACAAGTACTGTATGACCTCAGTGACCTGTGGAATCTAAAAAAAACGCCCAAACTCATAGATACAGAGTTAAGATTGGTGGCGATGTGGAAAAATTGTGAAGGTGGGGAAGGGACCCCACCCCAGTCAGTAGATGACTGACTATGGCACGCTGCTGTGAGGGCCTCGTGAACCTGTCAGGAGCGCTCCTGCTGGGGGAAGGTCTCAGAGAGGAGGCAAGGGCCCCGCACGCACCCGTGTGCACAGACACAGCCCACCGCAGGAGTGGTCACTTTAGGGCAAAAAGGGACTTACGTGTTTTGCTTAATACATTTTTATACTCTTTGAGTCTCTTCACAATCACATCTGTTAGATGATTAAAGTAATGAAAGGAAATGCAGAAAATGGTATAAACGTTATTTGTCCTTTCTGAATCATACACTAAGAAATTCCTCCAGGAAATCCCAGCATCTGGGCCATTCAAGGACAGCGACCTGTGCCCCATGAGTGTGGTCCTGCCTTTGGCCTCCTCCCTGAACTCTGACCAATAGTCTCCTGAGCATCTCAAAGTGAATATGGTCAAAGTCAAGTTCTATTCCCCACAGTGCCCCCTCACCCCAATACACCGCTCCCAGTCTTCTCCATGTCCCTAAGCGGGTGCTCCAGGCCAGAAACCACCAAGGCAAGGCTCACCGCCTGGTACCAGCAAACCCCATCAGCTCTGTCCCCACACACGCCCCAAACCTTCCCACTCGCACTGTGAGCCGGCAGCTCCCCACAGTTCTCACTGCTTCCAGCCCTCGGCCACTGGCCCCACAACCCTCAGTCGACGCTGTAGTCCACGCAGCCCTAAGCCCTCTGGTGGAATCTCCCTAGGGGGAGCATGGCCGTGTGACAGAACTTGCTCCAGCTCCACAAAGTCTCTGCTCCTGCCTGACTGGTCGGCCCTGACCTCGTGGGGGCACGGCAGGTTCCGCGCCCACTTCCGCTGCCCAGCCCTCCCCCACACCTTTCCAGGTACAATCAGGTTGTCACAGCTGCTCCTGGGGCTCAGGGTGGCTGTGTCCGCAGCGAGAGCCTCCCACCAGGCCAGCCCTAACCCTGATCTCCTGAACACGTTGCAGGCTTGTTTGTTTTCCACTGAAGGGCCACTGAGCCCCGGCGCTGACCTCAGCTGCTACGAGGCAGCCTGGAGGCAGGAGGAGGGTCTCCCTGGGCGTGGAGCTGCCGTGGACTCACCTCCTGCTTAGCCGCTCCTCCCGCTCCCTCTCCTCTCTCCTCCTCAGTCGATCCTGATTCCTCTTCTCCTGCTTTTCAGCCACAGTTTTCTAAACAAACAAGAAATTGGAAAATGAGAGAAGAACCAGCGACTCCAGCCAGAGCACGAACGCAGCCTAACGAGCACGGAGAACCCGGTGCAAGTGCTGAGATGCCACATTCTTAGTCACGGAATTTATCTCTTGCTTCACACCAACCCGGAGAGTTAGTTTTTCACCCAGAGGAGACGCTCCAAACTTTATGGTAAAGAAGAACAGGTCTCTAGCCAAACATACTCTGCTGCCTGTCCCTGGGACGCTGTGTGCTACACTGGCTTTAGACCCCGTCTCATGGGGACAGCAGGCGAGGGGAGGTAGGCCATGAACCCTCACCCCTGGCTCTCAGCACCAGGCTCAATACTCGGCCCATTAGGCTTGATCGTGAACACGGAGAAAGAACAAGGCCCAGACAGGAGGAGGAGGAGCTTCACTACTTCAACACCATCGACAAGCTTGGCTCAGAGCCTCCAGATCCAGGCTGCACACGCCCACCCCCACTGTCAACCTAAAGCCTTTCGGTGCCCCCACCTCTCTGTTGAGTGGAACGAAGCCCTGAGGGGAGGAGAGCAGAGCCAGGAAGACAAAGGGCCACCAGTGTTTTCATGCTCACGACGGCACGAAATACGGTCCCACACCTTGGCGCAGACCAGAGCCAGACACTGGATGAGAGAGAGGCGTAGCAAGGGAGAGAGGGGGAGGGGCCCACTGTCCCCCTCAAAGCACCCCCAAGGCCTCTTGTCTGCTGACTCCGGCCTCCAGCCTGGCCTCACTTGTCCTGCACCTGAGCAGGCACACAAGCAAGGATGGACGGTTACAGCTCAAGTTAAGGATGGGAGTTTTAGCCCCTCGACTGCCATGCACAATCTTCCGTAAGGGGATGTGACGGAGCGCAGGCCTATGATCTGGCATTAACTCCTTTCCAAACCTCCCAACTTGCTAGATGCTGTCCTTCCACCTCTAACAAAAGGCCTTGCCTCGCTCTTACCCTCGGTATGTGGCCTGGAGGTGTGAGTGCCCCTGGGACCACCATAAGGAAAGCCATCTCTGATTAGGGCCCAGAAGTCTCACCCTCCCGACTGTTAGGAGCTGCACTTCCAATACCTTTCCTGTTGTCAGTTAACAGCTCTTATTAAAATACATTTGTATTGTTTTGGTCAACTACATGCCACTTGTAACTCCAATGATAAAAACATGCTCTGTAGATCAAGTTAATACTTAAGTTCTTAAGGTTTTTTGGGGGGTGGGATTTCAATATATTCTCATCTCTGCTGGAGAAATAGGTGTTAAGAAAAAAAATAAAAGGCTTTCAGATATTAAAAAAATACCAGGACAGGGGTGCCTGGGCGGCTCAGCCAGTTAAGCGTCTGACTCTGGATTCTGGCTCAGGTCTTTTTTTTTTTTTTTAATTTTTTTTTTTTTTTTTTTTTTTNTAATTATATATAAAACATATATAGGATTGTTTAGTAAGATACAGCCATCTCTGTGTATGTGTGTGTATATATATGTAGTATAACATATTGTATGTTAGTAATATAGCAGGCTACACTGTAATATGGTATAGGGGCTCCTGGGTGATGTGCCAATTCTTGATTTCGGCTCAGGTCATGATCTCATGGTCTGTGAGTTTGAGCCCTGTGTTGGGCCCTGTGTTGAAGCTCAGAACCTACTTGGAATTTTCTCTACCTCTCTCTGTCCCTCGCCAGCCTGACTGCATGCCCCCCCCCCCCCCCCGCCGCTCACGCTCAAAACAAATAAACTTAAAAAAAAAAATACCAGGACAAAATTGTGGGATGACAGGAAATAGATACATAATTTAAAGGAGAAACGGAAAAGTGCTATTTCCAACTACTAAGAAGTACACTTTCAGTGCAGAGGACATCTGCTGGCAGGGAACCTGGGTGGCTCAGTCGGTTAGGCACCAGACTTCGTCTCAGGTCATGATCTCAGAATTCATGGATTTGTGCCCCGTGTCCAGCTCTGTGCTGACAGTTCAGAGCCTGGAACCTGCTTCGGATTCTGTCTCTGCCCCTCCCCCACTCACACTCTGTTTCTCTAAAATAAACACTAAAAAAGTTTTATATTCTACCAGCTACACAGAAAACATTTTTTACATCTTTCAGAACTATAAACTTGTAAAGAAAAAGTTCCAACTTAACAATGTGTGAAGTGTGTCACTTTTCAAAATTCTATTGGGAGCACAGAGCTAAATGTTTCAAGAGCAGTGGCTGGCACCCCAGCTCCACCCCCAGCACGGAGTTCACACCTCACCTGCTGGCAACCCTTCCTCAGGGGCAGAGCTCTGCCCCTGCTCCTTGTGGGGACACATGAGGCCCTCCACCCTGATGGCCACAGGGTCCCAGTCAGGTGCCATGTGTCTATCCTTCTACGGAATTTCATGTGTCTGGAGGGAAGGCCTGCATATTTCCCAGTACCACACAGCCCCACGGTCCCTACACGCACCACAGCCCCATGGTCCCCACATGCAGCAGGGAGGACGCCACCAATCTGATAAACAGTTCAAAGTATCTAAAGCGTCCTCACCCTTCCTTCTGAATGTTCTGTGCCCACGGTATGTTTTAGAGCTTAACCTAAGGAAAAGAGGAGCCTCGAGGAAGAGTGGTGGAGCAGCCCCAGCACATTCTCATCCTTTGGAGAAGGCTCAGGACCAGGAAGTGTGCCCTTCTGTCCAGCCTCATCACTCTCCACACATCCACCTCTGCCCAAGGAGAAAAACAAAACTGCTGGCTCTTCCCATCTCCAGCCAGAAGTCACTTCAGAGGTGGGCAAGAGCGGTCTATACCCGGAGACAAGACTCTGTGCTTGTTTTCTGTAAATAAGTGCAGACTAAATAAATACCCAAGGTCCCTCTGAATTCTAAGACCTTAGTTCTCTTGTGTGAACAAAGTGATGAAATCAGAATATTTCAATATAAAACTCAAAGCACGTTCTTGAGAGAGGATCAAAACACAAGGTTTTCTAGGTAAGAAATATGAGCACTGTCATGAGACTTCTTGGGTTTCTTGAGACACACAACACATTAACGTACCCTCAACTGATCAAGCTTCTCTCGGATCTGAATGAACCCCAAGTGTAACTTGCCCCCGAAGTGGTCTGCGAGGCGACGGTCATTGTCATGGAGACCAAGGTAGGCTGAACAGACCTCACAGACGCGCAGCTTCTGCTGTTGAAAACTAGATGCGGGCATGGAGTTTCTGTATTCTTCCTGGACAACGGGCACAGAGCAAGAACGTGAGGTGCCAGCACCACAACCAAACCCCAAAATGGATAATCTGAAGGGACTATAGGGGATGACTTTTAAATAAAGAAAAACCACACCACTAACAAGCGTCAGATATTTGTGACCAAGTCAATTTTCATCATTTATTTAACAAAATGAACTAACAGTCATGATTTCTAAACAGTAAGAACATTCCGATCTCTCAGACAAGCAGGATGCTGGTCTCCGAGGCCAGCAGGGAAGGCAAGTCTGGTGACTCACAGAGGAGAGCTCTAGGAGAGCCAGGCAGCAGGAAGGGGGGGATCTTCAAAACAAAGCACAAAAACCAAACCAAATAAACCAGCAAAACATACAAGAGCCACTCATAGAGATTGTGTCCCAAGTCTAGAAAAGTGTATGCCAATATGCAGCCCCAAAAAGTGAAGATTTGGAAGGACAAATACATTAGACCTTCTCTTCAAAGAATGTGCACGACAGAACAGAGCAAAACACACAGCCTGCTGTAGCCAATCCGGCCGAATCTGAAGAGTAACTCTCTCAGCTTCAAGGTGGAATGCATGAAATACAAAAGGGGAAAGAAAAGAGAAAAGGAAGAGGGACACGGCGCCTGCTGCTTGTGGCAAAGCTAAAACACTCCTTCCAGAGCCAGGTTTAAGAAACGCACTCCAACAGTCACTGACCCTTATTTAAAGGGATCTTCCGTTAAGCCACATGTTCAAAACTCCCTAGCAAACGCAGATCGACATGAGTTACCATGTCATTCATTCAACTGGCAAAGACCCGGAGAAACGGGCCCGCTCATATGCTGCTGGCAGAAGACTACATTGGTGCAACTAACAGGGCTGCAGCTGAGTAACCAGAGGGGAAGACAGCACGGGTCACTTTCGGAAAGTCCTCCAGGCGTCCGTCCTGGGACGCCAGGAACAAGTGCACAGACACCTGCCGTGGCGCCATCTGTAAGAGGAGAAACCACTGATGGGCAGGAACATGTTTGTGAGGCGGGATCCTACGGCGATGACCCGATGGAAGTTGTCTGCAGCAATAAGGAGAGACCCCACAAGCAGTGCTGAGTGAGGAACACATGGGACGGAAAGACATGCACAGAAGGGCAGCAGTTATGTGGGACTTTTTATACACACAAAGCATGCAACACAGACACATGCACAGTTATGGGCAGTACACGTGTGTAATAAAAGACAAAGAAAGACCTTGGATGCACAGTAATGTCTGCCTCTGGGGAGGGTCAGGATGGGACAGGAGGGGGAAGGACTGGGAACCTGAATTTCATTATGAGGTGCCATGGCTTTTATTAGGAGGGAAAAAACCCCACCCAAACCCAAAACCTTAGGCAAAAACGTAAATATAGTGAGTACATGAATATCTGTGATATTCAGTCCCTTTCTATAGTTTCAAAACTTTGAAAACCACCCTCTCACATCTTTCAAAATAAACTATGCCTAGTTTAAAAAGCCAGTCTCAAAACATTACGTACCATATGACTCCATTTAAGTGAGATTCTTTTTTTTTTTTTTTTTTTTAGTTTTTTAAATGTTTCATTTATTTCTGAGAGAGAGACAGACAGTGTGAGCAGGGGAAGGTCAGAGAGAGAAGGACACACAGAATCCGAAACAGGCTCCAGGCTCTGAGTTGGCTGTCAGCACAGAACCTGACACAGGGCTCGAACCCACGAACTGCAAGATCATGACCTGAGCCGAAGCTGGACGCTTAACTGACTGAGCCACCCAGGCGCCCCATGAGATTCTTGAAACAACCAGAATACAGAGAGGACAGACTGGTGGTTGCAGGGGTCAGGCAAGTGGGTGTGGCTCCAGAAAGGTCATGGGAGGGATCTCAGTGATGATGGACGTTCCACTGTCAACACCCGCTGTGACACTGTGCTACAGTTTTCTGGCATGTTACCACTGGGGGACACTGGATAAGGGCACATGGGACCTCGCTACCTGCACTGCACACACCCGTCTGCTACTAAAAGCAGAAAGGGGGGCGCCTGGGTGGCTTAGTCGGTTAAGCGTCCGACTTTCGCTTAGGTCATGATCTCGCGGTTCGTGGGTTCGAGCCCCGCGTCGGGCTCTGTGCTGACTGCCAGCTCAGAGCCTGGAGCCTGTTTCAGAGTCTGTGTCTCCCTCTCTCTCTGACCCTCCCCTGTTCACGCTGTCTCTCTCTATCCTAGAAAAAAAAAAAAAAAAAAAAAAAAAAAAAAAGCAGAAAGGAACCCACAGGTGCCCTATCAGCACTACCTAGACCTGCCCAACACCTTCCTGTCTTGCCCAGTGGTTTTAAGGAAGTGGTGCCACCTCCTGGGGACACCTCAGTGATGGGGGATACCGGCAGGGCAAGGATGCTAGGGGTCCTGGGCACAAGGATCCACGTGTTCCACATCCTGCTCCTGTTTGGGCTGTCTGCGGACACGCCCACGATGAACCCCAAGTCTACAATTATTTATGCCTAGATACAAATCTCTGAGCCACCCCAGGGTTTCTGGTGTCTACCCTGCTCTTGGAAGCTGGGGGAGCCGGGCCACAGGATGCACCAACAGGCCACAGAGCTCCCCCCGAGGGCTGTCAGCAACCCGAGGAGCCGGACTCTGTTCTACACGCAAACACAAATTTCCCATTGCGACACGCAGTGGTTTAGATTTGATGTAAGGACCTATATATATACTTTATATTTGTACAGATACTCAGGGACTTAAATCCTGTGCAAAATACAAAATTAAAGACACACCCAATTTCCCAGATATGGAACTACTCTATAAACCAGGGAAGACTGGAGCTTTAGTACCATGGCAATGCCACTCAAGGCACCACCTGCTACTGTCAAGCTCATGACCCATCTATCTTTACCGTGAATACATCAAAGCATTCATATACAAAACATCTACCCGGGGGAAGGGGGGACGCCTGGGTGGCTCAGTCAGTTGAGCATCTGGCTCTTGGTTTCAGCTCGGGTCATGATCTCTTGGTTGGTGAGTGCGAGCGCCGCGCTGAGCTCCATGCTGACAGTACACAGTACAGAGCCTGCTTGGGATTCTCTCTCTCTCTCTGCCTCTCCCCGTCTCAATCTGTCTCCCTTAAAATAAAAACATTGGGAAAAAAAATTCTTTACAAAACATCCATCTGGGAGCACCTGGGTGGATCAGTCAGCTAAGCGTCCAACTTTGGCTCAGGTCGTGGCCTTGCAGTTCACGAGTTCAAGCCTTGAATCAGGCTCTGCACTCACAGTGAGGAGCTTGATTGGGATTCAATGTTTCTCTGCGCCCCTCCCTCACTGGTGCTTTCTCTCCCAAAAGAAACAAACTTAAAGAAAACCCATCTGCATTGTCAATTCTTTTCCCTCTCATGTTCAAGAACAGACCATATCAGCCACCAACGTCACTAAAGGAGGTGTTGTGCCAGGGGTGTGAGGCAGCGTCTGGGCACCGCCTTCCAGCACACATGCTGCTGACCTCGACCCCAGCACCACCCTGGCCCGCATAACCCTTCTGCCCTGGGTGCTGACCACTGCCTCAGTGGACGTCACTCCAACACTCACAGGCCCCTGGCACCATTCGTGCATTCGGTTAGTCATGACCAAGCTCCTATGTGTGTTCACCACCAGGCTGAGCCAGGGGTACAGACATAACCAGAGGAGACTGGACACCTACATGCCATGTAGGTGTCCCCCTACCCGCCCCCACCGCTCTAAGAACCGTCTCCGTTGGTGGGTCTCCGCTAAGGGCACTGCCAGGACACGTCACACTACCTGAAGACCCTTGGGGACACAGAGTTACTCTCAAACTCAGACCCCATTTCTTTTTTCTTTCTTAAAGGATTTTTTTATTTCTTCTCGTTTTTATTTATTTTTTGAGAGAGAGATGGACTATCTCAAGCAAGCTCATTGCCCACTGTAAAGCCTGACATAGGGCTTGATCTCACAACCCTGGGATCACTGCGTGAGTCAAACCAAGAGTCGAACACTCAACTGACCGAGACACCCAGGCACCCCCAGACCGTTTTATTCTAAGCACCTAACTTGCTCAAGATGAAACATATCCATCTGTTCACACACTCTCCTCTCTACACCCCCTCCTGACTCTAGCACCGTCTCCACGGGAAGGGCCTCCTAGGACCTATTCACAACCCAAAAGTATGTGGCACACCGCCGGAGCTCAGCCCGCATGTGCTGCAGAACACAATCATCCCGCCTCCCTCTGCCTCGATGTGCCCACCATCCTCCAAGCCAACACGAGCCATTTCCCGCTCCAGTGGTAAGGACTCGAGAACCACAGCATATCCACTGGATACAATACTCTAGGAAGAACACTGCTGTCAGTATTACAAACACGGAGCCCGTGACTCATCTTTCCCACCTGTGCATCCTGCCTGGCATCCCAGCCAGCACCACTCGGACGCTACCCTCCATCTGCACACGGTCTCCATACAAGACAGGTACTGTTGCCAAGGACACCAGCTTTTGTTCTTTACACAATCTCCAATACAACTCTGACCCACTCATGCCAGCCGAGTAACCACCACAGCCACCAACCCCCTGGGGAGCCAGAGGATGAGAGTAAAATGACACCACTCTGGGTGCCTGGGTGGCCCAGTCAGTTAAGCGTCCTACTCAGTTTCAGCTCAGATCATGATCTCATGGTTGTGGGACTCTCTGTCCCTAACCACTTTGTGCTCGAGCCCTTCTCTCTCTTCTCAAAATAAATAAATGAACATTAGAACAATTAAAAAAAAAAAACAATTAAAAAAATTTAAAAAAAAAGATACCACTTCAGTGACTCTTCACTCAGGACTGCACTCAGCACATGGCTGTTATGCTTAGGGCTGCAAGGGACTAGTCTGATGTCACAAGAGTCACAGGGTGCAGAGCAAAGGCACAAACTCAAGTGTGCTCACACTCTAAATCCTACAATCCTATCCATATAGCTTCCTATTTCCAACTTCTTCCCAATATTCAAAACATTGGTTTTTTGAGGGTGCCTGGGTGGCTCAGTTAGTTCAGTGTCCGACTCCAGCTCAGGTCATGATCTCATGGTTCATAGGTCTGAGCCCCGTGTCGGACTCTGTGCTGACAGCCAGCTTAGAGCCTGGAGCCTGTTTCGGATTCTGTGTCTTCCTCTCTCTGACCCTCCCCTGCTCATGCTCTCTCTCTCAGAAATAAATAAAACGTTAAAATAAAATAAAACAAAACAAAACATTGGTTTAATTTTAGCCCAAATGGTGAATCTTCTGGGGTTACAAAATTTCCATTTTCTTGAAGACATTTTCCAACCAACCTCAGCTTCTTTTTTCTTTGCACGGACTTTTTCTACTTCCATAAGAATTTTCTGGGACTCATCAACATTTCCTTCAGCTCCCAGCTGCTCTGCTTTAGCAAGAAGTTTTCCGATTTCTTCATTCAACTCATGTACTTTTTCTGCCTAAAGGAAGACAGAAACAATCAGGTAAGCCGACATCTAAAACCAAAAGACCTGAACACAGAGAGAGTGTGTGATTCTCTTGACGTTCTTCTGTTGTGTTCCACCAAAATTAAAGAGAACAGCCGAGATCCTGACTGGAACACACGCAAATTGTAACAGCTTTGACATGCTTACTAGCGCTGCTGTGATCCTGACCTTAAACTAACCCTGGGCCCTGCATTCCAGTAAGAGCAGACGCATGCCTGTCACTTCCAACGTGTTGGCCAGGGTCACCATGGTGGTCATTTTCTGGCCTGTCTCTTCTCACATCTTCTACCACAACTCAATCTTCTGGGTAAAGGCCATAAAACATCCAAGTTTAAAGGTATAAATTTGTACTGTAAGCAAAATGCCTACTCATTTGGGATCTAATTTTAGAAATTAAGTAGCACCTTTGGTCCAGTCAGCAACTGCACGTACCCTAAGTGATGCCTTTACAAAACTGAAAGTAAAGGACACCACAGAGACTTAGTTGTCCTGAAAGATGGGGAACAGAAGAGAGATGAACCGATAGCCCAGTTACACAAAGATCTACCTTCTTTATTCCCCAGTATAGGTGCACCACAGTCTAACCATTTCCCAAATAACTTTCCCGTTTCCTGTTTTATATGGTGATGTTAAAAAAAAAAAAAAAAAAAAAAAAGTTAATGTACAGGGTGGGGAGGGACAGAGGCAGTAAACAGCTCCCAGGGGGCTGAAAGCCTTCCCTCCTTACCGAGAAGGACCAAGGTGGCAAGTACTGTCCACCCCAAAGGCGCACAATCAGTGCTAATGGTAAGGTGTTAGCCCTGGCAGGCTGCTTTTTACAAGACATCGATTTGTACCAACAACTTGAGGACGAAGTCTCCCAGGCATACCTTTGCAGAAACTTCTGCACTGATCTCCTCCTGTGTCTCTGCCAGCCGCTTCTTGGCAAGCTCAGTTCTCCGATCACATTCAGCAATAAAGGACTCCAAGTGATCCATTGCCTAGCTCAGGAGAAGCAGAGAGCTATGATCAGTTACAGGTAGGGCCTTGGAACCCGCTTGTTCAATACGACATACACTCCTGGGTTGGTTTCTTAAGAGCCTGTAAGTTCAGTGGGAAGATCTTAAACTACACTACAGCCAGCATGTCCATAATCACATTAAACCAAGGGGCTTTGTTAAACCAAGTGATCACTCAGAAGCATGGTCTTCTCATCTGATCGGTTTATTTCTAAAAATTTTTAAAAGGACCCCCATCCCTCAATAACATTTCCAGGAATTCTTTAAAAAATTAAACCACTTGGCCATAATTAATAGCGTTCTGAGGGACAGGAAGGCTGGACAGAGACTAGTATCTGAGGCCCTCTGCTGGTGAGCTGTGGGGGATGCAGATGATGTACTCACTGGTCTGTGTGAGCCACGTAAATATTATTCCCTCATGTTCTGAGGGTAGAGATCCCCCTTCCACCTCAAAACAAAACAATAGAACAAATATTACTGAGAGCTGTGAGCACAGTTAGTTATTGCCTACGGTCTAAAGTAGCAGGAAAACTGGTTACTACTTACCCAAAGAGAAAAAGAAAAAGAAACTCTAGGTATCTAACTGCTCACTCTTGAGTTGGTGGGAAACACTAAAATACACTAATAAGCTGCTTTGTAGATTTTAGGCAGTAATTTGCCACGACCAGTCAGAGGTCCCAGCACAAGCATACAAACAGGTATGTCAGGCGACGCCACGCACCTCCTAAGTCACACCCACAAGTCGAGTTACAAATGTCGGCACTGTGTTAAGTATGTCAGCAAGAGTTTAGAACGAGGGGGCATGACTAGACCATGTGAACTATCGCCAAAACCTACAGGAGAACAAACTCTGCGTAGAGATCCTAGAAAGTAGATGAAAGGCCAATAGGCCAAGTGGTGACAATGTGCCCCAACATGGCCAGGGGATATAGCAGGTCGGCGGTCAAGAAACGACTCTACGAGGGCGGGTGCAGCACCGGCATGGATAAGAGGGATGACGGGGAGGGCTACTGTCTCCTCCGGAAATCTTAAATACTCTTTTCAAACAAATGCTTGCTTGGAAGTAGGTCAAGACAGAGAAGAGGTGGGGCGCCTGGGTGGCTTAGTCAGTTAAGCGTCCGACTTTCGCTTAGGTCATGATCTCGCGGTTCGTGGGTTCGAGCCCCGTGTCGGGCTCTGTGCTGACTGCCAGCTCAGAGCCTGGAGCCTGTTTCAGTCTGTGACTCCCTCTCTCTCTGACCCTCCCCTGCTCACGCTGTCTCTCACAAAAAAAAATAAAAAAAAAAAAAAAAAAAAAAAAAAAAAAAAAAAAAAAAAAAAAAAAAAAAGAGAGAAGAGGTTCTGTGATGGTGCCAAGCTCCCACCCAGGGCACTGGAGAACGGCTAAAGCAAAATCATCCACTCAGGCCAATTCCCACTTTCACTCCATGATTCTGGAATTCAGGACCACTCTCCTGTTGTTGGCCATCCAAATTTTCCCTAATATTTCACTACATTTGAATCTAACAATCAGGAAAGCAAATGATTGGCATTTGTTTGTCTGCATACACTGTACTTCCCGGAAAGATGTAGAGCTGACTAACTCTGCTGACAGGGTGCTAACTCCCCAGGATCAAAGTGTCAGTGAGGTAATACAAGTCACATGCCACCTATGCTCACAAGGGATTACGGACCCTAGGAGACCATCCTGAAATGCCCCAGGATTACCCACACAGAGGTGTAGAGTCTATGGTGCAGCATCTCTGTTTGCTTGTCAATTTCAGATTGATTCCTAAAATATATGGAAGAGGTGGTTTAAATGATTTTTCTTAAAAAAAAAAAAAAAAGTATTCAAGTCTAAAAATTAAGTCCTAATCACACCCTACCATTGACAAGAAAGTCACCCAAGCCCTGCAGCTCAGGACTGGTACGAGGAATATGGACTACTCAGCGCCCCGAGCACCGCACCAGTGTGCAGGCACATGAGCTTCACTGTTGCCAAAGGCTGTTCCTCCACACTCAGGACTGTCTGCTGCTGCTCCCAGCCCAGCAGAAATGACACTGGCCACAGACCAGTGAGCTGGAGACAAGCACGTGCTCTCAAGGAGACTGGTCACAGCACAGGCATGCCCCCGTACTGCGCTGCATGTCACACAGGCCTTAAAACAGCTGCACAGACACTCGGAAGGTCTCCATCTCCCAGATGAAGAAACTGAGGTACAGTTTCCAAACTACTATGTGACGGCATCAGGGTGCCAGAACCGTTGTGGCCTGGCTCCCAAGTCCCGACACCCAATCTGCAAACTCTGAGGCAGTCACCACCAGCCTAGTTCACAGATAAATAGGAAAAGTCAAAATAACTTGCCCAAGGTCACAAAGGGATTCTAACCCAGAGTATCTGACTTAGCAAATATAACCACTATACTGTCATCTGGAGCTAGAAAAACTAGGTATAATCAGAACTGCTCTCATTTGGTATGTTAAAGACAGCCTGGAAATTTAGTTGATATGGTGTGTAGTTTGGGAAACTTGTGAAATAAAATATCAAAAAGCCAGACAAGGGTGCCTGGGTGGCTCAGTCGGTTAAGCATCCAACCCCTAAGGCTGGCTCAGGTGGTGGTCGCGAAGTCAGGACAGAGAGCCCTGTGTCAGGCTCTGTGCAGCAGTGCGGAGGCTCTCGCTCTCCCTGTCCCTCCCCAGCTTGAATGCAGGCATTCTCATTCTCACTCTGAAAATAAACTTAAAAAAAAATTTTTTTTTAAATACAAGACAATTTGGGGAAAAAGGTAATGATCTCTACTGAATTTAAAAAACAATTTTTTTGAAGTTTTCAATATGTGTACACCAAAGACATGTATTGCTCTTATGTAACTTGTCACAGGTGAAATTAATGTGTTAATATTACTGTTTATTTGCCAGTGCTTAAGTTGAGGAAATTGAAATATTATTTATAGAGATGACCTAGTAGCAAATATATTATATACCCTTCCCTAGGGAATTTCTGGGTAAACCACTTTCCAGAAGTCAAGGCCTTGCCCTGGCGTGTCAGGCTGAGGCTGTGTTAGGCTAGGAGCCTATGGTGAGGACAGGGAGGCACCTTCCCCCGCAAAGTCCCCCAGAGGTTCCACTCAAGCTCAAGCTGAGGGTCTAGGCAGGAAACACTTACACAAAGAAATACTACTATGACAACCCCATCAGGACCACAAATAAATCCTTTGTGAATCTACCCATCTGTACCCATTTGTGAACCTACCTCTGACTGGCAAAGTGCCCCAAATCTGGTCACTCACTCTTAGCAAAGATGTGAAAATGGAACCCTCCTACACTGCTTGTGGGAGCATTCATCCCTCTGGAGAACACTACGGCACCGTCAATGCAAGATGCCCTTCTGGCCCAACACTTCTGCATCTAGGCGTCTCTCCCAGAGCTGTGTACACAATGCTGATGTGTAATGAGGCGCCATGACCACCAGTAGGGGACTGGTCAGATAATGTAGGTATCTATCCTTTGGAACGCTACGTAGCAACAAAAAGGAATAAGGAAATCTATACAAAGATATAGTAAAAAGTTTAAGCAAAAAAGTGCGTAGGGAGAGAATAAGTGTATCATAGGCTATTGCTTGTGTTAAAAAAAAAAAAAAGGAATACAGACACACTATCTGCCTCAGGTGTCCACAAAAACTCTAAAGGAAACACAAGATGCTTAACTGGTTACTTCTAGAGGCCACCAGGTGACTGAAGAACTGAGCAGCAAAGAGGTTTCACAACGTACCTTCTATATTTTTAAATTTCGATCCATGTGAGAGTTCTGCGTGTTTTTACATTGCTAAGAGATGCTGCCCTCAGTGAAATAAGTGACCTAGGCAACAAACCTCAACTGTGCTTAAAGCATCAGGCTAAAGGAGACCTTCATGACCAACAGGTCAAGGCTGCCTGTAACAACCAAGAAGCCCAGAGCTCACTGTGCCAGCCGAAGTGATGCAACAGGAGGTTCAAAGCTCTGCCTCTGGAATCTTCCAGTCACAAAAGAACTTAAATCTGATTATCAAGCCTCCAGATCTAACTCCTAGGATACAAGAATTTCCAAGATGGGGAAAACATGTTAAAAAGACATCATGAGGATACAATCACCAAAGTCCAGAATAGGAGACTTCAAAACAATTAATTTCTTCAAACAAAAAGACTGATTGATTTATTTTTATTTCTGAGAGAGAGAGAGACAGAGACAGACAGCGTGAGCAGGGGAGGGTCAGAGAGAGACGGAGTCACAGAATCCAAAGACAGGCTCCAGATCTGAGCTGTCAGCACAGAGCCCGACATGGGGCTAGAATCCATGAACCGTGAGATCATGACCTGAGCCAAAGTCAGACGCTCAACCAACTGAGCTACCCAGATGCCCCCAAACAAAATGATTTAAAAACACTTACAAAAAGATGCAAAAAGACTTACTAAGCACTCTAATGTGTAGTCCTTATTCTGAATTCTGACTCAAACAAATAAAAGTGTAAAAGAATCCTTTTTGAGGCTATCTGGGAAATCTGAACACTATCAAATTGTAAGAAATTATTTTTTTGAATGATTATTTTTAATAAAGTATTCAACTTCTAGATACACTCTTGCAGTATTTAGAAACAAAAATTCTGGGGGTGCCTGGGTAGCTCAGTCAGTTAAGCGTCCAACTTCAGCTCAGGTCATGATCTCACGGTTCGTGGGTTGGGGCCCTGCATTAGGCTCTGTGCTGACACCTAGCTCAGAGCCTGGAGCCTGCTTCGGATTCTGTGTCTCCCTCTCTCTCTGACCCTCCCCTGCTCATACCGTCTCTCTCTCTCAGAAATAAATAAAAACATTAAAAAAAAAATTCTGGGGGCGCCTGGGTGGCTTAGTCGGTTGAGCGTCCGACTTTCGCTTGGGTCATGATCTCGCAGTTCGTGGGTTCGAGCCCCGCGTCGGGCTCTGTGCTGACTGCCAGCTCAGAGCCTGGAGCCTGTTTCAGTCTGTGACTCC